AAATAGTTTATGTGCAATTATAGACCAAGTACTAATGATTTTCTTCGACAAAAGGATGATTACCCTCACACCATTATTCCTTCATAACGGTTTCTATACCTCATTCTGGGTATGTGTCTATCCAACAACGCTTGTTTTCGCTAAGGCACTGTCAAGCCACATATATCTTCCCGCTATGTATAGTTTCGCTGTGGGCATAGGAGAAGTCGCGAGTAAGTGTAAGCATAACTTAGATTTGCTATCACTAAGAATATTTCTGTATTTCAGTGGGTGTGATCATCAGCCTCATGACAAAACGCATCACGAACTTTGGACTCAATCCAACCATGTACTGTGCTTTTGGACTTACTACAATAGTTATCGCCATTTTGATCTCCTCTGTATCCCCATGGGCCACAGTGGAACATTCCGATGCTCCAGCTTTGCTGATCCAACCAAGGTACAAGTTTTATTCATTTACATGTTGTGCCCTGACTTCGCCTGGCTAGACTGTATTTTTTTAAATGACAAATCTACTAGTGGTAATAAGATTTCTTCTGTGAAAAAGCTGGAGGCTGCCCCTGCAGTTGTAAGTTATCTGGAAATGTAACGTTGATCGTTTTCTCATTCAGCTTTTAAACAGACTTCCGGGCAAACACCAACCTAGAACAAAAAACACGAAATTACAAACGAAAGCCATAAATACTCTCTAAAATCTTGTCTTCGTTGAGAAGTTGATGACTTTGTGCATCAATTTCCAGCATCCTAAAGGTTTTTTTTTTTTGCGAGAACTTAATGAATCAAACAATATTTTTAGGAGCGATTGCATAGAGTGCAAAAAATTAATTGATGACTCAATCCATTTCTTCTAGATAAGGATCGCAGTGTGCCAAAGTTTATAGATCAGCTTCTTTATAAGGAGATCAAACTTAAATTTGAATTCTTCAAATTATACTTTCAAAGGTGTAAGACCACAGACCTCCAATTATGTTCAAAAAACAATACGCTCATAATTTCTATGTTATTACAACTTTTCCCAAAGTATGTGCTTTTCCAAAAGAATGAAAAACTGTATTCAGCACTTTTGTCAAAATTACAGTTGACTCTATCATGCTATCATGAGAATTGGGAGTGTTCGGCAGGAGTTGAATCAGTTGTTTGTGATTTTGCTTACGGAAGCTATAAATTGACCATGAAAAATGTTTACTTATCACTGCAGGCCTTAAAGTAGAGAGATGGTAGATATACGATAGGAAATCAACAATCACTTAAGCGGATTATTTGTTATGTTGAGCGCAGAAATATATTAGAAATTCATTGCTCCATCACGTAGCACTTCACTGGGAAGATATGATATTACGCTGTATTAGCCAGTATCGCAGGTTAAACTAAAAAGATGATTAGTTCATATGCCAATCATATTCGTCACCACAAAAACACTTACTTTGGACAGGAAGTGGTTGAAGATTTCTGCGTTAAAAGATTTGCCACTAAGCTTTTTTTCTGTTATGGAGATGGTGCAGCCAGGCGTAAGGCAATGCAGGTGATGGGTGTTTGAATGACTAGCGGTTAGCTTGCAGTCCATTTGGCCCAAATCGACACATGCCTGTATTTGCGACGTTGTAGTACAGATTAACGTCAATAGATGACGACAGACGCCCGGATACTTCATTGCACTAAGTAAACTCAAATTCAGCCATTCGCTGAACCACCTTCCCACAAGCATCGTAGACCTCACATAGTTTGAAATCCACGAGTATTAACTTTGTGATACAGGATATAAACATTATTTTTCTACAAATATGTGGCCAATGCATGACTTAGTTTTCAAGAATTTGTAACTAATCCATAAAGAATAAAAACAATTTTTCTTTTGTGTAGGTTGCTGACCTGAACGCAACTGTTATTTCATTCTAGTTGTTTATCATCTTTTCTAAGCAAATTTTATCTAAAGTGAATATAAACTTATACCTACCACATCTTCGTTGTACTTACCTCTACCCCACAGTAAGATTCTATTAGATGCTGATATGGTATTCTTGGTCAGCATTGTTGATAACCTCATTAGGAGAAATTTTAGCGGAACTGAAAGTTTGCAATTTTGAGCTACGAACTTTCGTCTGATGCTGAGGCGAATATGTAAAGCAATAGGTTACCCAACATGCTGAAATTTTGTTCATTGTTACTTGGCCTTATTGAACAGATAAAAATCATATCCCTTTAAACGATAAGGCCCTATAAGATAATATTGTATAGACAGTATAGATTCAAAGTCATGGATTTGTCTAAAAAGGAAGCTGTTGGGGTTAGTTGATGTGTCAATCACAAAATCATTACGAGTCCTTTGCCACAAAGTTATGAGAAATAGACTGCAGGCATAAATTTGATGAAAGGTACTTGCTGTAGTGACACAGATAACTTTCAGGATGGCCTAAGGCTAAGTTTATGAACTTGTTCAAACTTTGTCATCAAATTGATGTTTGATGTTTATCTTCTGATCAGCAGTCAACTATTAAATCGTTTTCAAGCAATTCCGTAACTTTGATTGACCCCTGCAGTGTATCTACCCTATAGTAATGCCCTACCTTACAAAGCGGATATAATTTTGCTAATTAATAGGTCTAACAAACCTACTGGGAATTTCATCATTTGGAATTTGACTTCAGCGGTAAGAATGTGAAATAAGACACGTTCAATCAATGCTTCACACATAGTCTGTTTTGTTTGCGATAGGTGTTTGACGCTTAATGTGCAAAAAATAGAATCTATGCAGCAAAATGTGTGTCTTGAAACTACACGAATTGAAACTCTAGAAGCCAGCTTTTGCTGAAACTTTGCCCATAGCAGTAACTTATTGTGCTGATCACGTATAATTACGGTAAGTCGAAGTCATGCGTCTGCCTAAATATTACTTCTAAGCTTATTTGACATTCTACATGAGTAACATATCGTCGCGCAGTTGCGTCCCATTGCGATAATATGGTAACTGCCGCAGCATAATCAGGCTCATGAAGGCGTAAAATTTGCCTAGTGGGGATTTTTTATACGTCAAACAAGAAAAGATCTCAATCAAATATATTTGAAAAACGTGCACATAAAAACATTTCGAAGCATTATTCAAATGACATGTATTTAGTTAACAAATCTATGAAAAGTACTAGTCATAGGCTATCTAATTGTGGAAAGGACAAAATCTCCCTCTTTATGTCTGAAAGATAAATTGTTAGGTTGTCAAAAGATTGCTGTACTTTTAAGGACATTTCGCGGTCATTGGTTTTTTTCAGTATGTATCAGTCAACAAATTGTGAACCTTCACTAACAACAGCATGCATGTCATTGTCATGCCTTACCACAGAGTTGGAAATAGTTTGTGCAGATAATTGCGAAACTAAACTGCGTGACTTCTGAGTTCTGAAACAGGAGTAGACGAACGAATATATTTGCTAAAATGTGGATTTGGTAAAGGTAGACTATTAGCGAAATTTTATGTTTTGGACAGAAGTTCTATTCCAACTTGGCAGGCAGGAAGTGGCGGGAACTTTCTGACAAACTTATATAAGATTTCAAACTGTTTAGTGTTTATGATAATTTTGGAATATGCGAGGGTGGTTTTAACGAGTGGTTGAATTTCAAGTTCATCTTCAAAATATCGAGGCGCACTCATTGTCAGTAGTTGATGATGCGCACCTGGACAATAATATTGATCCAGGGACCGGATTCATCATTGATTTTACCTAGGGTAAATGCGGCCACGCCCCTACCTTGGTGATGTACCGAGATTC